AAAACAGCAATGTCTTTTACTTCTAAGTCAGCCTAATAATTTTGGCTTCTAGAGTTAAATCTTTAAAAGGGTCCTTTAACTAAAACTTAAAAAGTTATCTTCATATGGTTGGGCCACCTGTCTGGTCTTCTCGTCATTCAGCACTACAAAGCTGTACTCTACAATGGTTGGAATCACCTGGGGCAACTTTCAGGATTTATGTTGTCTGTCCCCAGTCCCAGCCTAACTGGAGCAGAACCTCAACATTGGTATTTTCTAAACTACACTCGATAATTCCAGTGAATGGTCAGATTGGCAACACTACTCTAAAAGGAGAAGCTGATAAAAACATAAGTGTATGACCTGTCTAAAATTAAAAACATATACAGATTCATAGTTGTAAGAAATAATGTTCTGTGTCCTCAGATATATTATATAAACTTCATATATAATTTTGAGAATAAAATACTTGCCTCAGGTGAAAATGCTTTAGAAAAAATATTTGTAAGGATTATATAAATTTAAGACAATTTTAGGAATCTAAATAAAATTTTTAAATGTTAATAATTTGGACTAATACAATAATTAATACTACAAAATTAAAATATTTTCCTTTTCTTTAGACACAACTAAGTTTAGGAAGACGTCCAATTATTTCAAACTGGTTGGACTACATTCCTCCAACAAGATACAAAGATCCATGTGAACTATTACATCTTTGCAGAATAACCATCAGGGCTCAACTATTGACCAACAATATGCTCCCAAATGGAATATTTTCCCTTCTAATTCCTGTTCGTCTGCAGAACTACCTGAACTTAGAAAGCTAATGGACATCTTTTTCCTGCGTTCTTTAAGGATGCTAACCATTATATGGCTTAGCAGTTAATAAACTATTAACTTCACACAAACATTTATTGCTTTGAACATTCCATTAGAAAATATATTTTCACATGACACCCTAACTGAATCACTTTTAAATCAACATATGGCTTTACACATACTCTTTTCTACAATGGAACAAATTATATGCATTTTTAAAATATTTTAGATTTATACTTTTATTCTGTTCTTAAAAGTTGTTTTTGACCTTACAGTATTCTTTTTACTTGTGGAAAATTTGGTCATATTAATGTTCTGAGCTCTGAAGCTCTCGTTAGAATTTCTAAGTTAAGTAAATATTATTTTATCTTTTGTATTCATAGTAACAAGTATTTATTGAGTTATTTGGCAAATAAAACACTGTGTTTGGTAGTGGGGAATAATTAATGAAATTAAGATGTGATCCCTTCCTTCAAAGAATAATTTACAGTTCTGTAGCAGCCATGGTCGCAAACAATACAAGGTGAAGAATTAGTCAACTAAAATACTGGGAGCAGGATGATAGAAATGGATTATATTTGAAAATAACTAGCCTTAAGTTACAACATGGAGCTTGGATGTTTTGATATGTGATACCTTTAAATACTAGTCCAATGGTATTTTTAAGTGAGATATAATTGCATACATTACATTACTTTCAAGTATGTAACATAATGATTCAACAAATATATATACTGCAAAATGATCACTATAATAATCTAGTTAACATCCATCATCACACATAGTTACAAATTTTCTGCTTGTGGTGAGAACTCAAGATCTACATTCTTAGCAACTTTCAAATATATAATACGGCATTATTAACTATAGCCACAATGCTGTACATTACATCCTCAGAACTTATTTATTAAATAACTGAAAGTTTGTCCTCTTTGACCACCTTCACCCATTCTGCCCACTCCCAAATTATATGCATTTTAATACAAAGAAATGAACAATTTTGACCCAGTATTGCATCAAAATGGAAACATTATCAGTTAAATCTGCATGTTCATTGGTTACAAAGAAACTTATCTTTAAAAAATTAGAATGTGTTCTACTATAGTTTTTTAGCTCTTTTCTTTTTGAATATCTATAGTACTAGATTTTTCTCTATATAACTATGTGGTCATTGCGACACAAAGATGAGAACTGGGAGATAATTCTCCATGGGTCTCCCATGTTTTCACCTGTCTTATGAGAAGAGGCACTGACTGCCTTACTCTTTACTATCTTTTTAAAGATGTTTGTATAGTGAGCAGCCTTAGAAGACAGATAGCGGCTCCCTCTGAGCAGGGGGCATGTTTGCTCAATATCTAATATAATAAAGGCAATGTCTCCCTCTGGGGAAATGGCCAAGCAGGTTTGCTTGAAGCTCATTATAAAAGATTGGAATTTCCCAGGCTTGGGGTTCCTCAGCTGTACCACCAATCCACTGTGTGCTCATCTCCATGTCGTAGATGGTAGCAGTATGTGGAACCAACACAAACAGCGCTGCATACTGTGCCATTAGTAATAAATTCCTTTATTTCTAACCCAGTCTTTAGTCTTCGGACAGCAGACATGAAATTCTACCTGCAAACTGCTGGTTTGCAAGCAAGGTAAAAAAAAATCTTAGTCACTTCAGAGTTCTTGACAATAAGAATCTGTTTCCCACATCACTGCTTTTAGATCCATTTTAGCAGATTATGGCAGTATACATTCCCACTGTCTACGTGCAATCTGGGGACTATGAAAACTTTGACAATTCATAAGAAAAGGATATTCATTTTGGTTCCTACAGTAAGATAAAAACAATTGTATGATTAAGTTTCTAAAGTACAGAATGTAAAACAGCAAAGTAACAATATAACTAGATCACTTGCTTTTCCTTTCCTTCCACTTTCATTCCCTTACACGTATTATAGGATTGAACTATAGAAGTGCTTGCTTATTACACTTAGTTATACTATATTTAATTATGATTGAGCATATTTTAAGCTCATAAATGTATATAGGAAGTTCACACAACACAAAGTATATTGATATTTAAATATTTTACCAGTAGCATGTAAGATAGTTTATTTTGGCTGAAAATATGTGCTAATATGAAGAAAGTAAAAGAAAATTTACCCTTAATCTAATTTATAAAGAAACACTCGTAGATTACTGACCCAGATTAAGTGATTCTTCTGGGAAAATATTTTAGCAAATCTTTTTACATTTATTCTCTAATTTCCATCCTTTTCTTCCATCCTCTTCTTCTTACTTCAACTCTAAGAGAGCTTAATGAATTTGATCTAGTTATTACTTTTATTGAATATAGTGTATACCTATGCTAGAGAGTGGGCAATAAGCAGCATCTAAATTTCTGGAACTTTTCTACTGGAATTCCTATTACTTCCATATTTCTCAACATGGTTGATGGTATCACAAGCTACAATCATATTTAACTCTTCCCTCCTGCACTGGATTTCTAGGGCTGCCGTAACAAAGTAACACAAACTAGGTGGCTTAAAATAACAGAAATTTATTGTCTCACAGTTTTGGAGACTGAAAGTCCAAAATTGAGGTGTTAACAGAACCATGTTGCCTCTGAAACCTGTAGGGGAATCTTTCCCTGTGTGTTCCTGATTTCTAGGGGTTTTCCAGCCATCTTTGGCATTCCTTGGCTTGTAGATGTGCCACTTCAACCCTCTGTCTTCACATAGCGTTCTCCCTGAGTGTGTTTTCACATGGTAATCTTCATAAGGACATCTGTCATATTGGATTAGGGGCCCACTCCACTCCTGAATGACCTCATCTTAAATAATTAGATTTGAAATGATCCTATTTCCAAATAAAAGGTCACATTCTGAGGTACAGGGGGTTAGGACTTAATGTATCTTTTTCAAGGGGACACAATTCAATCCACAACACCTTCCACTCAATAAAAAATCTGATGTCACTAAATCTAGTTAATCAGCACTAAATCTCCTTAAGATCTCCAAATCACTGTCTTCTCTCCTCTACCATCCACTCCACCCTCTTTATTCTCCTCTTATATAAACACACACACACACACGCACACACACCCCTGTTCCATTCTAACTTCTTTCTACCTTTATTCATCAATTCTCCTCTGGACTACTTGAATAGTTTCTTAAACTATCTTGTCTCTTTGATTCTGGTTTCAATCACACATTCCAAAATCATTTATGCTACCACTCAGATGATCTTTATAAAATGAAAATCTAATCATGTTATCCCCCCCACTACCACCACCACCCTTTTCCACTCTCCAGCAAGTTACCTTAAAACTCTTCAGTCATCTAAAGGAGAAATGGCTAGAACCTACTTCATCTTTTTGTCACTCGCTCACATGCACTCTATCCCCGAACTAAACCAAACTGCTTACTGTTTCACATCTCTTTGCTTTTACATATTCTGATCCTTCTATCTAAAATGCTCTTCCCTTTCTAAACACCTGACATATTTTATTAGCCTTTAAACTTCCTTGGCCCACAAAGAATTATACACTTTTTTGTTCCATTACCCTTCTGAGTATGTTCATCTATTATTTATTTATTTATTTTGTGTATATACATTTTTATTGAAGTATAGTCAGTTTACAACGTTTTGTGTTCATCTATTGTTGTACTTACTACATGGTATTCCAACCCAAATATATGTGTTTTTTCTCTTTACTACACCTGAAAAGCCTACCTCAAAGTCAAGACACCTTTTGGGCTCCTCACACCTAGTATGTAGCCTGTGCCACAGTATACACTATTGAATGAGATTCTTTGTAGTTTTTTTTACAGTAAGGCCTACTCTGAAACTCTTGTGTAAAGAGGAAGATTTTAAAATGTGCTACCAGAGAGGTTAAACTAAAAAGCAGATAAAAAATAATTTAGGAAACAGTGCTTTAAAAATTGCTGCTTGCTAAAGAGTGATCAGAATAGCTTTAAAATTTGTAAATGCCCTTACTACATACCTATTAGAATGGTTAATTTTTTTTTAAACTGACAATACACCAAGTGCTAAAGAATATGTGGTACAATTGAAGGCTCATACGTGGCTGACAGAAATGCAAGATGGAATAGCCACTCTGGAAAATAATTCGGCAGCTTCTCATGAAGTTAAATATGACAGAGCCATTTCATTCCTATTTAACACAGATAAAACTTATCACACAAAAATCTGTACACAAATATTTGTAACAGCTTTATTCATAATCACCAAAAACTAGAAACCCAAATATCCTTCAGTGAGTGAACTGATAAACTGTGCTACATACAAACAACGGAATACTAGTCAGCAACAAAAAGGCCCCAAGAACATGGATAAATTCTAAAATGCATTATGCTCAGTAAAAGAAGCCGGTCTCAAAAGGTTATATGCTATATGATTGGAGAAAAACAAAACTACAGGAAAGGAATGCTTAACCATCCTCAGTGATTGCTGGGTTAAAGTTAGGGGGCAGAGAATCTGGCTACAAAAGGACAGTACTAAGGGAATCATTTGGCAATGATAGAATTGTCTTGTATCTTTTGTTTATGGTAGTGGTTCCATGAATCCATAAACGTGCTAAAATTCATAAAAACTGTACACCAAAAAAGTTAATTTTATTGTATGTAAATTAAATAAACAAATGTATTACTTCCTAGGAATAAGGATAAGCTTTTTCCTCTACTCCCATATACCTTACTTTTAGACTCGAAAAATGATTACTTTATGTGGAGAAAAGTGGAACAGACTAAAAGAATGGCTTTGACGTACAAATTCAAGGAGTTTGCAAAAACATTATGGACATTTATCTTAAAAGGCTGGATTATGAGATAATGATCTATAATTTCAGAGAAAGGCAAAGGCAAAGAGGTACTGAAGAGTAGAGCAAATAGACCTGAAAATTGAAGAATGGATTGTCGCACTAGTATTCACCTCTATCCTATAGTACCATGACTTAACAATTATATCTTCATTTGATTTGCTTTTCATATGTTTCTGCTACACACAAAATGATTGAAGAAAGAGTAATTAAATTTTAAGAAGATATAAACCCATTTCTATTTCAGTATTCCAAATCTAAAATAAAAGGGATTAATCTATTGGCTGCAGTTTTTGCATCAAAAGCTCTAAATGATGAAGACTTTCTTGAAAATCTGGTGGAATTTAATATTGGAGTTAAATGTAAAGGGAAGTTAATACATTTGAGGAAATGACATTCAGCATATTTAATACTTCATGCCTGTCTCTGCTTGCCTGCTTTTCTTCCATGGCCCTGCTCTCCTTCCACCTTCTATTGCTTCCTCCCTGCCCTCCCAAACAATCTGCCATCCCTTTCCTTCCACAGTGCCTTTTAGAAATTTGCACAAGCCTAAAATATCTGCTTTTAGGAATGACCTCATAAAATGTAATTCATTTCAAAGGCTGTGAATTAAAATGTAGCTAATGGTTAAATTCAAATACCGTTGTGCTCTATTTACAAAGCATGACAATAGGGAATATGTAGTCCAACAGGACATTTAATATATAGCTAATGTAATTAATAGCACTACTTTACATTTACTTTTCAAAAAAAGTATGTGTATCATTCAAAGGATACATTTTTCAATATATCTAGCTACTAATATGTACTTAGAATGCTGAGAAAGAGTTAAATAAAGTCAAAATATTAAAACTGAATTTTGTAAGATAAAATATGCATACATTAACAAAAATATGGCCCTAACCAGTCCCTGAACAGTTTTTTTTTCAAATTTCTATGACTCCTGTAGCTTACTGAATGTATTCTCTGAGTTCCACAAACTTAGTTTCCAATAATAATTTCTCTGTCTTAGGTCTTTGGGCTAAGATTATGTGACTAAGTCATCTACTGAGATAGAACTGCAGAAATAAAGGGTTTGAGAAGACAACAACTCTTTGCAGTTACTGAACAACTGATGATCTTCCATTTTCTTTTGCCTATTTATAAAACCAGAAAACCTTTGGGTTAATTCTAAATGGTGATGTGAGCCACATGCCTATGGGAAAACAGTTCTATAAAATGCTCCCTTGTGAACCAACAATTGAGGTTAAACAAATAAATACTACCTTCCTGCTGCCTTTGTTACTCACCTAAAAAAGATGGTCAAAAATGAAAATTTGGAAAAGGGAAAAGAGAAGAGGTTGGTGAGTAGAAAATGGAACACCAGGCCACTTGGTAACTACCCCTCTCTGTATTACAAAATAACTATTTGCTGAATTTCACCCTTTAGAACTACACTGAATGCCAAAAGAATACTTTAAAATTCTCAATATCATTCTAACAAACTTCAGCAGCATTCAGTGTTGGAATTTGGGGGTACTAATTAAGAAATCATTAGGTCATAATAATAGTATAAAAAACATCACTTCATTGTAAGAGGGTAAAAGGAAACTTCACATAAGTCTTCTGATCTAAAAAGAAGGGCTTCTTTTAGCTGAAGTATTTACAATAACATTTGAAACCATAACTTGTATATACAAATAAACTTAAGATGTAATAACATGAAGTGTCATAAATCAGAAAAAAGTGCATTAGACTGATTTTTTTCTAACAGAAAAATCATCCCTTTAAAAAGTTCTCATCTCAAGTTATATAACAAGTATTTTCTTATACAGAATATATAGATGATAATTCTGAGGTTAATATAATTTTCAATTAAAATATAAAACTTAGCAAATATCATTTTCTTTTGCTCTTGGGAAAAATGAATTCTAGGTTTCTCATATTAAGACGTATTATTTAATTAGTACAAGATGTGATTTGCTATTATTCTTCAGTCTCCCCTGAAACTTGTTCAGACCTGGGAAAATCTGCTTCATACTTCTTTTTGAGGTTACTTAAATATGTTCGTAAACTGTCTGGATCCAACTGAGAGTTTCGAGCAGCTTGAACAAGCCTAGTAGCTAGATGGTACACAGCTCTCTGTCTTTCCATCTCAGGGGTACTCCTTTGGTTTTGCTGTTATTGAAAAAATATAGATAAAAATTAAAATACGAATACTATGATTTTTATTTTGGCAATATTCTCTCTTTTCACAGAGATAAGAACTCAACTGGTTAATCAATCCCTTTAGATAAGTCAGTTCCACCCAACTAGCAAATAATATACTAGAAGAAATAAATATTATTTTGGAGAATAAAATTTCTCATAAGTGTTTACTATTTTATGACAGATCCTTGAAAACCAATTTTCAATGAAAAAAAAATCTGCTAAAACATCAAATTTCTCAACACAATACCAAAAAGTAATAGAAAACCCACCACAGTTATGTTCTACAAACACCTTCTCATTAAAATGGCTTGGGAAAACAGCACTGCTCATTGCTATGCAGTATTCATAATTACAAATGTTATAAAGAATACTAATCTGCTATCTTCTACTTTAATTCCCCAACAAATAAAATGGTGGACAGAATGGGTCATCAGTAAACTGCTTGTCCCTCAAGAGAGTTCATATACAGAAATTTTCAAAGCCTAAAATAAAATACTGCCTAAGGGGTAAATTACATTTTTAAAATTATCACTGTAAATAGCTAATTGAAATTAAGCCTTAATTCTTAACAAACTATACTTAAGGATGCCCAAGAAATAGTGTTTAAAATGGGAATCTTCTAATACTTTGGAAGACCTTTAGATAGACAGTCAATCCTTGAGTATTTCCCTTCAGGGCTGGGAGTACAGTTGGAAAATTCTTCATTCACCTCTGCCTGACTAGACAGGGGAATCAGCATTTTGATCTTAACTGTTTATGTAAAGTCCTAGTCAGTTTCTGTTCACTAAGAGAAATACAATCCCTTCAACTCCTTCTCAATAACAAGCAATTCCAGATTTTTCCCTACTTTCACTACAGGAAAATGAATATAATGAGGTAGAATAAGATTATCATATATTCACCCATGTATCTATTTGATACAGTGATTGATCAAATATCAGTTTATTTTTTAAATAAGTTATTGAATATCTATTATTATCTATATTCCAGACCCTATGCCTTGTGTTTATGACTATGGGGAACACAAAAATGTCATCCTGACATGACAATGGAACTCAGAAAGTTCAGTCTTACAGTGAAATAGACATGTTTACAAGCAATTGATTAGGTGATAATGAAAAGTCCCATAAGAGAGATACAAAATGCCCAGAGGAAAGAAAGTTCACTTCCAGCTTGGATCAAGAAAAGCTAAAATAGGATGGAGTATTTGGAAAGAATCTTGACAGAAAAGCCTAGAAGGCAGGGCTTTCCAGGTGGAGGAAACAGAGAAAGCAGACACATTAGAAAGCATAGTACACAATCAGGTCAAAATAATGAAACAAGTAATACAGTGTGGCAGAAATATAGCTTATAATTAAATTGAGTAATGTTATGTAAGGTTGGGGTAGAAAATCAAGGGAGATCATAAAACAGTAGTTAACCAACTGTAGTATGCTTAAGAATCATCTGAAAACTGGTTAAAAATATAAATTCTTGAGTCATGGGAGACCCTTTAAAATTTGGGACGGTACCCAGAATCCCAGATGATTCTAATATAGGCAATCTTCAGATTACATTTTAAGAAATAATCATAGAAGACTTTCAACATTAGGCTAAGGAGTTCAACTGAAAGTTTCTGAGCAGGAAACATGGTAAGAATTATGCATTAGAAGACAATTAAGTAGAAGTAAATAGAATGATGGGTTCAAAAAGAGAGGGAACCTACTGCATCGTCCTAATGAGAGGTAATTAAGAAGGACTCAGACTCTGGTGGGTCACTGGGAGATTTGAAAGTGGAGATGAGAGATTTTTCAGAAGATGACAAATTTAATTTTGGACCTACTGAAGAGTGAATACAAATTAAGATTTCAAGAAGAAATTTGGATAAAAATAAAAAGATTCAGAGTCAAAAAGAAACGAAAATGGAGGCTGAGAAAAGGATGAGATCACCAAGAATATAGAATTTTAAACAAAAAAAAGGGTAGAATCTTAGAAATACTTCTATTTAACAGGTGGAATAATAAAAAAACACTAGTGAAAAAAGGAAAGAAATAATAATCAAAGAGGTCGAAGAATGAAAACATCCAGGAGAAGACAATTCCACAGTAGCCAAGACAGAGAATTATGAAAAGGGAAAGAAGGCTGGTGTCTAATGCTACAGAGATAACAAGGAAGGTGAGAAGTGAAAAAAGGCCATAAGATTTTACGATTAGTTGGTATTTAAGAGAACATTTTCAGTAGAGTGATGACAAGATTCAGTTTGCAAGTGGAAAATAAAAGAAGCAAGTACAAATTGCTTTTGAGAATTGGCAGTAAAAGGAAGAGAAATACAGTTTGAGAAGTAAGGTTTAAAAAAAGGTGGGGAAAGGGTATAGCTCAGTGGTAGAGTGTGCACTTAGCATGCACAAAATCCTGGGTTCAATTCCCAGTACCTCCATTAAATAAATAAACCTAATTACCTCTCTCACCCCCACCCCCCAAAAAAAGCTTTCTTGGGAGAAAACCTAACTATATTCACAGAAAAAAAAAATCCAGTAGGAAAAAACACTAAGGATACAAGGAGAAGAAAAGAAACTTAATGGAGATGAAAAGAAGGTAGAAAAGTTAACCTTAAAAAGGAAAGGTAATCTCTTCCTCTGATATAGGAAGGAAAAGAAATGCGTGAAAAACAGAAATTCCAAAATAGAATTCTGAAGGAAGAAAGGTTCAAGGACTCATTAGGATGACCTCAAGTCTCTCCAAAAATATAGGAACTAAATTTTTTGTAGAGGGTAAGGTTATTGAGGGCTTAGGAAAAGCAGAAACATTTTCAAAGACTTACTATAAGAAATCACATAGATTAGGAGAGAAGAAAAAAACTACCCAGTAAAATATTCAACTAAAGTTAGAACATATTAATTTGCAGTGGATAAAATATGCCTGTCTTAAATATATTTTGAGCAGCATCAAGAAATCCAAAGTCTAGAAGGCTATTGGATAGGTTGCCCATAATTGGAATTTAGCAAGAAGAATTCTGAAGAACTAGGTAATGAGACGTTCTTCAGAAGTGAAGCACTGCCAAAATTACTGGGGAACAAATTCCAATGGGATAATTGGGCAAGTCATAAAGACAGACTAGGAGGTCAAAAGACTGAAGAATACAGTAAAAATTGAAGGCAGAATAAGAAAGATTGAAAGACATAAGAAACTGTTAACACTGAAGAAAATTTCATACTGCATCTAGCTTTGTTTACTGAACACACTGGATTTGTAAAACAATATAAAGCAACCTAATGTAAAAAAACAAACAAAAAAAGATTTCCAAATTTTCAGCTAACAGATGTGAATCTAGTGTTGGATCTACCGCTTCTTAGCAAATCACTTAGCTTCTGAGAACCTCAGCTGTAAAAATGTAAGTAAAATAATACCTTTATTATTTATCTTTTATTAGACCTAACTGCTTCATGAAGAGTTGAGGCTTATATATGATAATGGACAGAAGAGCTTTGAAAATTATAAAAAAATGAAAATTTTGTGCATAATGATTCTCATTTTTAATGCTTACTTTATAATAGAGATTTATTTATCATAAAGTTAGTGTAGCAATAATGAACTGTTTAACTTTGGTTTCCTATCTTATTAGTAGATTTGCTGGGAAAAATTATAATCGACCAAACCAAAAAACTTTTGAGAAGTAAAAAGGATTTTCTTTGTTTAGTAATTAGGTTTTTGTTTTAAATATTTCAATTATTAAGTATCATATATTTAGATCCAAGGCCATAATAAACATGTACACTAAAAGTGTTTCCTTGAATTTGAAAAACAATTTGTATTGCTAAAAAATTTCTTACCAAAATTTGTCTAGTAATTTGAGTTGTGATTTCTTTGGCATCCAAAACAATTGATGGTGGGAGTGATGATACCTCTGCAGCTTTTAATCCTAAAATGATAAACAATGGGGCTTCAATATTGTTATTGCTGGTATCCTTATGTTTGTTTGAACCAGTATTAGTCTTTTCTTCACAGATTTGAATTTCTCTTCTTAGGTATTTATGAACTACTTAACAATTCTCAAAATTAAGTTTTCCTAAGTTCTGGATGACAATTGAGCAATTACTAGATTTAATTACTTGCGAAGACATGTAAGACAAATTTGAATAACAATTATCTCTCAAAATATCTCTGAGATAGCTGAAAACATGATAGGGAAAGGAAGAGAGAATTCAAAAATCAAATAATAGTAATAAGACTGAAATTCCAACTACAAATTCAGTTGGTTTATAGGTCAAAGGACATACGGGTTTTGCAAGGTAGAAGAATGTGTAGTCGGAAAAGCCTACAGCTGAATATTCATCTATCTAGCAGATCAATGAGGGAGACATTTCTCCGAAGACATAAAGGTAGGTGACTATTCATGCAGATTCAACTACCAACTAGTATTCTCATGTTCTCAAAGTCTGATTTTATAAATGCCTTATATACTTTCTCATGTGTGCTAATAGTGTATGTATTGCTTTAGGGGGAACAGAAACAATACTAGCTTTTATTCAGAAGTCACTAATTGCTGGGCACTATGCTAGGAAGATTGTATTTGATAATTCATTTAATCTTCATAAGTCCTCATATAACCCCATTTAACAGATGAAATTGAGGCTTATAAAGATTAACCATCTGATACAAATGAAGTTATTCATTTGATTTTCCCATTTTAATAGCAAAACAAAGGTGATTTTTTTCCCTCACAAAAGTTACATTCATAGCTAAAATAATTTTTGTAACTGTATATGCAAAGGGCAATTGAAAATTCCCTGAATCTGCAATTTTACACATCATATAATGATATAGATAGAAAATATCTAATTAAGCTTCTGAATACATATTATTTGGTCATACATTCCATTTTAAGACTCAAACTTTAATTATCAAATTCCCTGAATCTGAAGAAAACGGAGGAAGGACCCTGCTACTTGAAAGGGTGTATAAGAAATATATAATTTTCAATTCATTATATAACTTGCAAATATAAGCTAAAATCACATTTTTCTAAGACTAGAAACTATACTTTTGGGACTTTCGTGTGTTGCAATTCTAGAAAGTCACTGTTAATATGTTTCAAAATAAGTTTAATGTACATAAATGTGAGTTTGACATAGAAAACACAGTCTTAGAGCATATAACCACTCAAAAGAACGGGAGGGAAAGTTGCTTAGGTTGACAGTCAAGTAAAGAGGAGAAGATTTGTCTTACAAAAGTATGTCATGTTACAGTGTATAGACATAATTTCTGTATGTAATACCATAATTTTTTTCTTCTGTGAGTCCCTTAGAAAGTTTGTAGGTATACAAGATTGCTTCTTTATTTCTTGAGGTGTTCTTTACATGTTGAACTTCAAAATACATGTTTTCTACATTGGGATACAGAACATCTATATGGCATAATTCCAGGAAATGTGTAGCAAACAGTGTAAATGCCTAGAATATATAATAATGAAAGTCAGCATTTTTAAATAAACTATAAATTCTATTTTAACTATTCAAACATAAAATTTTAGTGTAACTTTCTAAGTAGCTTAACAGAAATGTAGAAATGAAACTGATAGCTCTGAAGCTAACATGGTCAATTTTCACCTTAAAATGTTTTGAAATTGTATGGTCAGTGAAGGAAACATGTTTGTTATGTTTACACATACACATGTATGTTACATTATGGGAAAGAGAACAAATGCAAAAATAAAATCCTAAAAAAGAAAAAAACTAAAAATTAAAGCTATTGAAAGGATGAAGTTTACCAGAAATAAAGCTATTAACTGAATAATCATTGCAGAAGTAATCCACAAATAAAATCATAACATTTCCCTCAACTTTAGAAGTATCTCCCTCCCATATAAGTAGTTTTGGAAAAGTGGAATCAATGGATTGTCTTAAGTATTTGAAATTAGAAAGGTTTTTGCTTTTATATTTGCATTATGTCTGGGTTAGGTACGTATAGGGGAAAAAAAAAGACTTTGAAAACACTGCTTAGTACAATGATTCTCAAACTTTAGTAATCCACTGGCAAGCTTGTTAAAGTAAATTCTTGGTGCTTATCCCCTTCACGTTCTCAATCAGTAGCTGTAATGTGGAGCACCAGGAAACTGCGTTTTCCCTAAGTACTTCAGGTGATTTTGATGGAGGTGATTCCAGTGACTTATGACCAGCATAGTGGGTTCCTGCCCAGAGTTAATGAAGCAGACAGAGATTTAAATAATGTTTTAAGACATTACCAGTGAGAAACTAAATGGGTGATTAGTGGAAATTTTCAATATTAAGACATTATTAAGAAAATATTTGACTGGCAAATAGCTATCAACTATGGAAAGGGGATAGCAAGGGAAGGAATGGTTTTCCATATGACAGAAAAATAAAAAATCTTAACTACTAAACACATCAAAAGGAGGTATAAAACAAACTTAATTTATAAAGCGACAGAAAAATATTCAGAGATTTACTAAACTATTTAGAATCCAGGGCCCATGTTCATAATAACAGTAATATCTTCAAATTTTATATATTAAACCAATCTATTATAGTAATGCTAGGTTAATTAATTTAATAAATAATTATTCAGGGCCTATATATAGCAAGGATTATGCTAGGCATTAAAGGTAGTAGGCTAAAAAATAATAAACTTTAAGCTCCTTAAAAGTAAGTAGCGATAATTATATTTTTACTGTCAAGCCAGCTGCTTCAGGATGGTGGGAACATAAGGCCAGTAAATTCCATGAATATGGGCCCATTGCTGCACTGCATTTGCTATGAAGTGAGTTCCTTAATAAAAGCAATTCTGTGTGGAATACCATGATGGTGGATAAAACATTCTGTTAAGCTCATGGGTGGTAGTTTTTGTAGAAGCCATACGTGCAGGGAAGGCAAATCTGTATCCAAAGAAATTATTTAGTCTAGTAAGAACAAATTGCTGCCCCTTCCATGCTGGAAAAGTGGTCCAGTGTAATCAACCTGCCAGCAGGCAGCTGGCTGACTACCTTAGGGAATGGTGCTGTATCAGAGTTCAGCGCTGGTCACTGCTGCTGGCTGACTGGGCACTCAGGGGTGGCTGCAGCAGGTTGGCCATGGTGAGTAGAAATTTATGTTGCTGATTCCAGGTATAACCTATATCCATGCCACCATGGCCACTCTGTTCATGAGTCCATTGGGTGATGGTAGGGGTGGCTAGGGAAAGAGGCTGCCTTGTATCCACAGAATAGGTCATCCTATTCACTTGATTATTAAAATCCTCCTTTCCTGAGGCCACTCCTCCCAGTCAGACCATTAACCACAGCCTATGAACTGATATATAATTACACACCTGACCATTTTTCCTCACAAGCAAAATGAACAACCAGGTACACTGCTTGAAGTTCTGCCCACTGGATTTTCCTTCACCAATGTCCTTCAGATATGTCCCAGAGAGGGACTACAGTGCTACAGCTGTCCACTCTTGAGTGGCACCTGAATAGTATACAAAACCATCCATAAACCAGGCAGGCCTTCTCTTCCTCTGTCAACTGACCAGAGGGGACCCTCTGTGAGGCCACAGGTGCAAGGTGAGAAAGTAGCACAGCAGGGGTGAGGACCAGGAACATTTGGGCCATTTCTGCCTGTAACTTCCTTGTGCCTTCAGGGCCTCGTGGGCCCAGTCATGTATATACCACTGCCGTTTGATGGAGCAGTGCTGCTGTGCCTGCCCAACTTTATGGTTGGTGGGTTAGATAACACCCAACTCATGACAGGCAGCTCAGACCACATGACAACTTGGTGGCCCGTGGTTAATCGTTCAGTCTCTACTAACACACAGTAGCCGGCCAAGACCTGTTTCTGAAAAGGAGAGTCATTATCTGCAGAGGACAGCAGGGCGTTACTGCAAAGTCTCAGTGCCTTATGCTGTAACTCACTGACAAGGGCCCAACAAAGGTGCCAAGCAGCATCTCTGTCTGTCACTGACACTTCAAACACGAGTGATCTGCTTGACCATAAGGCCTAAGCAGCAGAGCATCTTGCATGGCTGAACTTCTTTCAGTCTTCTCGTGCTCTGGGCCCCACGCAGAACTAGCAGTATTCAGGTCACCTGATAAATGGGCTGGAGTAACACATTCAAATGAGAAATATGTTGCCTCTAAAATCCAAAGAGGTCGACAATGCATTTTGCCTCTTTTTTGGTTGTAGGAAGGGCCAGATATAACAACTTATCCTTCACCTTACAAAGGATATCTCAACATGCCCCAGACCATTGCATTCCTAGAAACTTCACTGAGGTGGAAGGCTCCCGCACTTTTGTCAAATTTGTCTCCCCATTCTGACACACAGATGTCTTGCCAGTAAGTCTAGAGTGATTGCTACTTTGTGCTCACAAGGTCCAATCAGCATCATGTTATCAATGTAATGGAACAGTGTGATATCCTGTCAAAAGGAAAGCGATCAAGATCCTTGCAAACTAAATTATGAGAGTTGGAGAGCTGACATACCCCTAAAGTTGGACAGTGAAGGTCTACTGCTGACCTTGCCAGCTGAAAGCAGACTGCTTCTGATGATCTTTGTTGACAGATAGGTATGGAGGAAAAAAGCACTGGCTAGTCAATTAGCTGCACACCAGGTACCAGAGGATGTGTTATTTGCTCAAGCAATGAACCCTCATCTACTAGAAACAGCTCCAATTTCAGTTACCACCTGGCTATGGTTACAATAATTCATTATCATTTTCCAAGGTCCATCAATCTTCTGCATAGGCCAAATAGGCAAGTCAAATGGGAATGTGGTGAGAATCACCACTCCTGCATCTTTCAAGTCCTTGATGGTGGTACTAATCTCTGCTATCTCTCTAGAAACGGGGTATTGCTTTGGGCAACTATTTTTCTTATGCAGAAACAGTTCTAATGGCTTCTATTCGGTCTTTTCTACTTTAATAGTCCTCACTTCACAGGTCAGGGAACCAATGTGAAGATTCTGCCAGCTGCTGAGTACACATATCCCAATTACACATTCCAGAAGTGGAGAAATAACCACAAGATGGGTTGCAGACCCACTATAAAACAGATCTGAGCTAAAACTGCACTGATCATATGTCTTCCCTATGCCTATCCTGACTGGTGAACCACAGTGATGTTCTGGGTCTCTGGAATTAGAGTCAGTTCAGAGCCAGTGGCTCGTAGTCCTAAAAAAGCCTGATTATTTCCTTTTTCCCAATGCACAGTTACCCCAGTAAAAGGCTGTAGGTTCCTTTGGAGAAAGCCGGGAGAAAAATAAATAGAATAAATTTTTGGAGCACACCAGAGTCCTTCTTCAAGGGAACTTGGCTTCTCCTTCAATTAAGAGGTTCTAGATCTATAAACTAGCTCAGGTCTAGAAACTGGTTGAGAGGCCCTGACTCTCTTTTTTTATGGTTCAGGCTAGGTTTTTGTTCACTTGACGTAAAACTTTTCTGCTTATACACATCAAGCAGGAATATGATAAGCTTTCCTTCTATTTCACTTCTAGGGAACACCACAATCAACTAGCCAGTGCACTCGACTGCCCCAGTCAAGACTATTCGGATTGCTGCTTTGGCTCTGCTGCCTGTTTTGGTAACCACTCCCATCTTGCCTTTGGTGGTAGAGTACTGTCAGTTGCCTCCTGCCACCCCGAGATCCAATTACTCCCACTGTGTTTAGGTTTCCCAATTCAGTGACTGCAGTTTTCACTATAAGATCTAGCCTACCAAAAAGAGTAAACACAGAGCATTTCAAGGATGTTGGAGCTCTCCTCATAAATTTATTTCTTACAGTAATGGTGAAAGGTATATCTTCTGGACCCTTGCAGGGTAGGTGAGTAGATTTTAAATGAAAAATACACAATAATATTCTAGCCTCCCTAAGCCTTTGAATCTTCTCCTCTATATTAAACCAAGGCAGGTCTAGCATTTCCAAGCTAGTCACTATGGGCTACCTTTAGTTCATGTTTCAACCAACCAACCAAACATCCTGAGCTGCAACATTAACAAAACCTCTGCTCAGTGAGTCAATATCAATAAATTTGGCCTTATCCTACTTCCTTCCATCATTATCCGAACATCCTTAATATCCAGTTCTACACATGCTCCCCAGGTTTCTATCTGTATAAATTAGAAAACTCAAGTAGTTCTTTTAAAGTTATTGTACCTCCTCATGGGCCACACTTTGTACCTCAGCTTTAAGGGCCTCCTGGGATCTGAGTCTAGTTATAGGTCTAGAAGCAAAGAAGGGTGGTAAGAGTGGATCCTGAGGAGAATTAGCATTGTCTTGCATGGTATCTTATCAACTGACATATTAGAATTACAGATTTTCATCTATTAACATTATCTTTGATTCATCATACACCTTTTTTTAAGTATAAAATAAGAGTTTTCTCATTCTATATAATAAATCATTATGGACTCTCATTTAAAGTGAAAAATCTCATCTTAGTGATATTTTAAGGTGCTTTAAATACAGAAAAATATTATTACTTTTTTGCATACCACTTTGAGTGATCTTCTAAAAAGATATTTTATAAATTAGCTTAATAATAGAGCAAAAATCATAGTTTGTTTTACATAGTTGATCTACAAAAGAATGCTTTCTTTAAAGGAATGAACTCTTAAGTAAAAGAGATTTTCCATAAAGTTACTTCAGATACCTAGTTTACTTCATGTTGTGACATCACAGTCAAATGTTATTACACACAGTCAATAACTGAAATGTTTCACTAGCAAATGTTTTGCTATTTGATTAAATTAAAGCCAAGTGACTAGTTTTGACATTTCTTGTATTTCTTGATTTCCTCTTTTCTTTTTTCTATATCATGACTATCATACTAGTCATTCCTGCTTCGATTAAAATAAAGTAACAAAAATATGAAAGCTATGATATGTTTTTATTACCTAAAATTGCTTAAAGAGCCATTTGTAGGTACCTGTAATATCCAATCATGATAAATATATAAAAAATATATCATAAAAAGGACTCAACAGAATTAGAGGGCATTATGCTAAGTGAAGTAAGACAGAGGAAAACAAGTACTGTATGATACCACATATGTGGAATCTAAAAAATATAACTAACTAGTGAATAAAACAAAAAAGAAGCAGACTCAGATGCAGAGAATAAACTAGTGGTTACCAGTGGTGAAAGGGAAGGGGCAAGGGGCAATACGGGAGTAGGGAAAAAAAGTGTTATTATGAGATTATATGAAATGATCTGTGTGAAACTTCTGAAAATTGTAAAGCACTACAGAATTTAACAAATCTTTCATTCAATAAAAAATAGAGTACTCAAAATTAATGAACTCAAAATAAATAGACAAGAATACCTTTAATCTCAGCAGATATTCACAAACAGCGTAACAAATGCCAATACCTTCTTCTGTATTAGTACCTCTGCCAAGTTCATCAATTAATATAAGTGATTTGTCATTAGCATTATGTAGAATATATGCTATCTGAAAATACAATTTCAATATTATGCATTGTAACCAAACAGCTGTCACTATCATAGAAAAAAAATGAGGAAAAATCCAGTCTCTTTATTAGCTCATGTGAAATATATTTTTACAGAGAAATCCTGCTGAGCAGAAACTAATACATTGCTTTTCTCTCTAAAAATCTCATGACTAATAATTCCAATAGAATAGCATACATAAACAGAATATGCATATGTGTATGAGACAACAAAGTAAATAACCATTATCTAAAATATTGATGTTTCAGATACAGTGAAATAAAGCAATGAATTAAATATTTAAATAAAGCACAAAGACGGTCATTTTCTTCTCTTCTCATTGAAATGACTAACCAGTTATTGTCAAGAAACTCTCTAAACTATCTCTCAAATTTATTTTAACATCTCTATAGCCAGTAAAAATAAAAAGAAAAATTTAGGGAAAATCATCCTAAGTCCATTGATTCCTGACTAAACAAAAAAATGTAAATCCATTACCAAAAAAGACCAAGACTTTCACTGGCAGAAATGTTCCTTCTCTACTGAAATTAACTTCCTTTCTCAAAAAGTAGAATTCCACCCTTTTTATATCATGATACAATAGTAACCTTCATAGCCATTTTACCTTTCCACAGGACTAAGCTTCTCGAGAGCTAGGACCATTTAAAAGTACACCTTAAGTACCTGGTCCAGTGATGTATTCTCCCATAGATATTCAATACATACTAAATAATTATATAAATTTCATTTACTGTGGGCAAAAGATAACTTTATTCTCCATCTATCTAAAGAAAATTACACAACTGTATAGTGATCCAGAAATTCCTAGCTACAAAAGACAGCTCAAGAGCTATACTGAATCCCTTTAGCCCCTCAAGCCTACTTGACATTTGGTCAGATCAGAAATAGGGGATAATACATACTTTGTTACAGGAAATAAAAATCCTACAACAACACAGAAATGGATATTTTTAAAAAGCCTTCTAACACAGTGATCTTTTATTTTAAAACCAAGCTTAAGAGGAACAATAGATACTATGCAAAATGTTCCTGAACAGGTCATCATTTTCTGAAGTCTTTTATATATTTCACATAAAAACATGAAAGCACGTTTTTATCATTCAGTAACACAAGCTTTTTCTTTAAAGCTGTATTTTTCAATAAAACATTTGCTTCCATTTCCTCATAAGAGAAATTAGGAAGCTGTCTTTGACTGCCCTCTGGCTCTTGTAGAGCAGTATAAACATATCTGCTTGCTTTAGTATAAGAATACTTTCTTACATTGTAATTGACCATTAGTGGGAGAATTCAATACATTTTTAACATAAGAAAAGTTACATATTACTTATAACTAAGATGACTGATTTCTTGAATATGTGTAAACACATTTGCCTGTCCTTTATGACTGGATTATTGCATTCTATTGATTCTTATTTTGTAGTTGGCTTTATTCCTTTGATAGCTATGTAAATTTAAAAAGCTAAAGCTCTAATCTGTTCTTAGAAACAATAATTAGTACATATATATAAACTAGAAAAAGTGCAGTATACTGTATATATATATGTATATTTACATGCAATATAATGTGTATGTGCAGTTGAAATGTAGTAATTCTACCTAATAAAACTGAAAAAGGAAAAAAAGAAAAGAAAAGTTGAGTTTGGGTACCTCTTTCATTTCCTTCATAAATGTTGATGAATTTGTTTCAATATCATCATCAGTGCTGATTCTTGTAAAAATCTGTTCAGTAATTCTAAAGGAAGAATATTCTGCTGGAACATATGATCCTATAAAATACAAGATCAAGCTAAACTGAGCTGCTTTTATAAAACATAAGTACTACTAACATTTTGAATCTTCTACCAATTCATTATTTACTAGCTTATCTAAGGATTACATGGTGGAAAGATCACTGAATATGGAGTTAGAAGACATGGCCCCAGCTCCATCATTTACTGTATAATCTTGGACAACACTTAAATTCTCCCAGTTTCATCTTCCTCACATATAAAATAGAAATGCTTACCCTATCTATTGTACAAACTTATGTGGAAGTTCAAATAAGACAATATATATTCAAGTACATTAGAAAAATTTGTTATCAACTTGATAAAAAATTTAAATATAGTTAGACAATAAAAATATTTAAAATATGAAAATTTGAAGGAAGTGCTTATGAAGCTCAAGTTGATAAAATCATAGGAAGGTATGGCAGGAGACAGCTATTATTAGAAATATACAGAAATAACCACAATTAGAATGAAAGTAAACATTAAATGTTTCTAAAAAGGTAAATTTTCATCCACAAGACTGTTTCTGTCTGAGCAACCATCAGGCTAACTAATTTAAATAAATTAAATCAATCTGATTAACGTACCTATTATTAATATATAACGTACCTATATATTAATGGATTTATCCATACAAAATCAGATACAAAAGGCATCGTAAAATCATAAGAAGATAAAAATATACAAACAGTTGAATGGGAAAAGTATCAAGTATACAGAACTCTGTACAGACAAAATGGTGAAATTATATGAGTGAAGAAACAAAGCCAGATTATTCCAAGATTTAAAACAAAGGCAAGGGTGAAAAATAAGATCCTCCTCTGAAGAATAAGGACTAGAAAGCAGAAAAAGCAAGTCAGGATAATACTAATAAAAATAAAAGCAACAGTAATAATAAAAATAATTATAAAGATTGTATCTCAGAGAGCAGATTATCTTAAATACAACTTTCTCACAGGATAGCCAGAAGGATTAAGTAGGAAAATAAATGGGAAAGTACCAAGCACAGAACACAGCATATGTGCTATATGTTCATATTTTCCCTTCTCTCTTACCTCCACCAAAAAGGCTCTCAACATCTTATCATCATGTCTAAATTATTACAGAAGCCTACTGGTTGGTATTTTGCTGCCAGTCTGGCTTTTCTCTAACCATAACATTAGCCAGAGTGATCATTCTAAAAGTCAAATCCAATCATGCCATTCTCTTGCTTAAATTTCAATAGCTCTCTGTAGACTTCTGGATAAATTTCAGTCTCTCCATTAAGTACCTAAGGCCCTTCAAGATGTGACTCCTGCCCATCTCTCCAGCTTTACAGCCTACTACTTCTCACAGCCACTCTGTTCTGTTAGGTGAGGAACCGCTAAGCCTCTGGACTTCTTGTAATTCCCAGGGAACATCATACTGTTCTTTTGCTTCTGTGCTTTAGAGCATGCTCTTACTTCTATCTGGAAAGTCTCCTTCTTTCCCACACCCATCCCTTAAGCATTTTATAAATATTATCTTGCTTAATCTTTACAACAATTCTAAAACATGGTACTATTATTATTTTCATTTACAGAGAGAAAAAATAAGGAGGTTAAGTAATTTGCCTAAGATCACAGAACTAATAAGTAGACAAGCTAGGTCTAGTTCCAAAGCCTATATTCTTAACTTTCATGTATTTCAAGTCCTTCTGTTTCCTTTACAATCAGATCAAATCAGATATTATATATACTTTAAGGTATTTTATAGGCTGAAGATGGACAGTGACAAGAGAAGTAGAGTAATAGCAATTTTCTCCAAATATTTGAAGGGCTATTCCCAGGAGATATTAGATGATTCTGAAATGCTCAGAAGATATGAATTAGGACTAATGAGTAGAAGTTATAGAAAGTCAAATTTCAGTTCATTATATTGAATGTTCTAATAATTATAGCTACCCAATAATTAGCCTATTTTTTTAAAGGACAGACCTCATAACTAGTCAAAAAGAAGTTAAGATTATTATGTCACGTATGAATGTGTGTTTACAAGGGGAGGGAAGTTGGCTACAATGTCCTTTTAAACTATAAACTCAATAAAATATTTACTCTTCATTCATTCATTCATTCCTCTCTGATTTTCTTTCCCAGTATTAAGGGTAAATTTGCACTATATGACCAATATTATTATTGATGTATTTCCTTTACAATCCATTACATTACATTAGACCAGGGTTCTTCAACCACATCTTGGGCTGGATAAAACTTTCTTGTGTGTATGTGAGGGCTTCAGGGTGAAAAGGAGAAAGTGGGTGTCCTGTGCATTGTAGGATATTTCACAGCATCCTTCGACTTTACACTCCTCTTAGCTGTGACAATCAAAAATGTCTCCAGACGTTGACAAACTCCAGGGGGTAAGGAGAACCAAAATCCATCCCTGGTTGAGAACCACTGTATTAGGACCAATCATCTCATCTCTGATTCACATAGTCCTCAAGGAACCCAGTTTTCCAAGATAAGAGGTGAGTTGTGCCTTTATGCTAAGAAATACATAACAACGTTCGGCCTGTGACAGCCATTTATGTGTGAGTGCACACATGTGTGTAATAGATCAACTGCTGTGGCCAAGTTATTGGTCCCCCTTAAATTAAGTAAGGGAAATGTTTCTCTGCCCAATGTTATAATTTTGGGAAAATCTTACATGGGTTATTAACGGCAGCAGTTTATCCTATTTATTTTACTTTTTCTCACAATAAAGTTTTTGAATCTCAGATAATTTTATGATTCAGTTTAGTAACAGTTGATACAACATTAATAGCTATGATGAGAAAGTTCCTACTTCTGTTATATCCCACAAAATTTTCAGTACAATGTAATCCAAATTGGATGGAGCTTAATAAATACCAAATAATAAAAGTTATGGTCTATATATTAGACATTATCATACTTCCAGGTATGAAAATCTACTCCAAACTGCTCTTAGGTTAATTAGGCATCTGGATTTCAAATACTGGACACAAAATATTTTAAATGGGGAGTAGAATTGTTAACTATAAAGTAAATCCATAACTTACCAATCTGGGCCATAATCTGACAAAGGGCAATCTGTTTCAAATATGTGGATTTCCCACTCATATTTGGTCCAGTTATGATTAAAAAATTACTCCCTTCTGTAATATAGGTATTGTTGGCAACAGGTTTTTCCACGGATATTTTTTCAAGAATGGGATGCCATCCCTGTTTGATTGCTAAAGTATCAGTGAACTCTGGCCGAACTAAAGAGAAAAATAGAAAGGTTTTGAAAGATTATTTATACTTAAAGATTTTGTGATGTGGACGTACTGTATATAATTTAGTGATTTTACTAGGGTCAGTTAGCAACAATATCATTATTCTATCCCAAGGTATAAAGACAACTTCAAAATTGCACATTCACTTAATCCTCGCCTTCAGCATTATTTCAAATTTGGCACACTTAGCTTTTCAAATGAGGTATGGATATAGAGTAAAACCAAATAAACTCATGATTTTATGCCCAAACTTACAGAAATTTTGTCTAAAAAGAAATCTCAGAGGATAGAGAAGACAAAAGAGATACTGGTAATTTATAGGAAGAAATAATGATCAGGTCTCTATGGATAATTGCTGAGGTGAAGGGAGGAAGAAGAGGGTGGAAGGACAAGTAAAAATTTAAATGCTACAGGCCTCTACATGAAACACATGGGTAAACTTGAAAGCATTCATTATAAAAGTGAGGTTAATTTGAAAAAAATTTTTTAACTATTTAAAAATCATTTTAACACCAAAAATTCATCATTTATAAGTTTGGAGTTTCAAAATGGAGCAACATCAAATATCTTATTAGTTAAGAAAACTACTATTAAAATAGCTGATTCGTAAAGTAAGGTTCTGACCCCAAAGGAGAGATAAAAAGTTCAAAAGTTTTGGCCTATAAAATAACCAATTGAAAAATGTAACATTTTCAAAAGAAATATCAAAATACCAACTATGAAAAAAACCTTGTAAAATACCTTTCCCATTATAAAAATAAATTAACATAATATTTTGGAAGTATTACTGCTGATTTTAACTAGAAATTTTAATGTTATTAACTCTACAATTACTCAACCTTAATTATTACATACAAATTATGCAAATTTACATACTGGAGTACAGTTATTACTGATAAGTTGGATAAGAAATTTCAAGGAGGGCTAACTACAAGTATTCATTTAACATTACAAAATTACTTAACATTTGTATTCAAAGCCTGTGTATAAACTTGGGATACAAAAATAAATGATATAATTTTTGATCTTGGGATGCTCATATCTAAAAAGCAAATTTTTAAAAATTTTCACTTTCATTTCTCTCATGTCTATTACTATTAGTATTCTACTGCTTCTGATGTAGCTTCAGATTTGAACTTTATACATTTGGATCATCATTATTTTTACCAAGAAGACAGCTCTACATACAGTCTTTCTTCTTTTGAGAACCTTTTAAGTTTCTTACAGTTTTTTTCCTTTCTGATTTGTCAGTTTCTCAGTAAATAATTTTCTTAATTTTAAAAGAAACTTTAAGGGTAATTTCATTTTCTCTGTGTTGAGTCTTAGTCTAGGGCCACAGGCACAAGACTATATTTCAGGCAAAAAAAATGTAAAATATTCATAATTGTTATATAAAGTTGTTTGAATGGAATACAAATTTCAGTATGCAACATATTTATTCCAAAGAAAATAACCTACCATAGTCAGAAAGAGTGCAGGCATGAGCAAATGACAGCAGCATATCCAGCATTGACACAGTGTCAGATAGTTTATATAAGCAATGAATATGTTCATAAATCTCACTAAGCAGTTTGCATACTATCCTGAAAGTACATGTTTGGTAAGTCAAGTAATGCTTTTCAAAAAGGGACATACAATATAATTGTAAAACAATATTAAATTCATTGCCTGAGGTAAAGTAACATTCACAGTTGAGTTGTACACTATACATAAAATCTATTGTTCTATTGCCTCATTTTAGAGATGAGGAAATTGAATATCATACTCAAGGTCACCGTTACTTAGCAGCAAAGAATCCATCTTCTTGTGTGTTAACACCATGCTTCTGAAATCACTGCTTGGATTAAATATTAATAAAATAAATTTTTATTAATAGAAATATTTTATAAAGGTCAAATCAAGC